AAGATAAGGGGACTCTAGGTGGAGTCTATATTTCTCTCAAGGGCTGAGTTTAAATTGGACTGGATCTTAAAATATTAAGCCTGTTTTGTTGGTTATCCTTCCATCAACAAGATCCTGGAGTTGTGGGACTACACAGATATCTGCCTCCTTCCAAGGGTTAGCGTTTATAAAAACTGACTACAACTTATATTAATTTCATCAGTTTATAATTGACTTGTTAATTTGGTGATGTAACTTGTTGGTGAATCCAGCTAATATCAGTGTTAATCCAGTGGGCTAATGACTCAGTTCCACTTGTGACCTCGATTTAATAACTGCATTATGTAATAAAGTGTACTGAGTTGAGTTTCTTTCAAGTTCTCAGCTGGAGTCAGAAACCTCAGAAACAGAGGAAACGTAGCCAAGGTATTTGAGAGACCCTTGTTCTTTCACTAAAATCAACTTGTGTATCACTCAAAAGTAAAACCTACAGAAAAATGCAGAAACTCCTGCTTGTAAAATACATTATGGAAATTGGGAGGGCTAAGAGGGAATCTTGTACTCCTGCATGTTCACTCTCTCTTTGGCCCAATGAATATTCAAGTATTATGTAAAAAGTGAAATCATTTCAGCAGGAAGGGCTAAAGTATTTTCCCCACAACAGGCTATATAGCTTGGTAGTTAGGTAGATAACAGATGTGGTTTTGAATCCATGCAGATAAGGGAGGGAATCAAACTGCAGTTTCCCATGGCCTTTGTGAGTTCCCTGACTTACTGATTAGAAAAAAGTATACCACCTCCTACTCCAAGAAAATGATGCCTCATGCTTGACTTTCAAAAAAAAAATCCCCAGCTTAAGCATCTTAACTCAGAAGAGGATTCACCTGTTACAGACTTTATTTTAAAGGAAAATAAACCAACAAAGTGGCCAGAACCCTAGAGGAGGTGAGAAGGGGGCAGGGTTATTAAACAGACCCTCCAGTCTTCCCTATTGTTTATCTGACCTAGGTGGTTCCCTACTCAGTGGTCTGGTATTTATGGATCCCATTCTTACATGCCTAACTCTCCCCATGCATTTTACAGGAATCCTAGACACCTAACTCAAACTGTGGATACTGCTACAGGGACCAGGGGCTAAGTTGTTCGGTGGATTTTGCCCTCAGTCTATTTACCCCAAAGGATGCTGGAGCACTACATGTCCCTTTTTCAGGTATAATGAAGATAAGGCACTGTCGGAGATGGAGAAATGAAAAGAGAAGACAGTGGTACAAACAGATAAAGAACCTCAGCTCACGAAGACCAGAAAGTAATTGGCCAAGAGCTGACATAACTTGAGAATGAAGTAGATGACTTGCCTACAAAAACATGCCATCTAGAAGACAGCAAATGCTGTTCCTGACCTTTAAAGTGGAAATCAAAGGCATTAATTGTAGCAGATTAAAGAATCATTATTTTGTTTACAAAGAAATGTGCTGAACTAGAAGGCCTCTCCAAAAACAAAGAAAAGAAAAGAAAGAGCAACAAATGATTGAAACAATGAGCTATGAGTCATCTAAATATGCACGTTAAGACAAGGACAAACCAAAAATTGAAATTTAAATCAATTTTTGCTAGAATCAATTTCATTCTAGCATTAAAAGTTTGAACATATTAGAACTTAAGGGAGAACCTGTTGAATAATTTATTTGTACTTTCACAGAACTTGGACAAAGCCTCTTATAAGAATGGGCAAAATGCTGGCAAATGAAATTTAGTGTTGAAAAATGCAGAGTTATGCATGCTGGAAAGAAGCATTTGTGCTACTTGCATTGCAGGATTCTAAACTAACAGTAACCACTTGGGAAAAGTAGGACTTTTTAAACTACGTGATAAGCTCCTGTCCAATTCAACGTGGAAAGGTGGTCAAAAAATCAAGTTAAAAGTTAGAATGGATAAAGACTGTATGAGAAAACAAGGTTGTCATTTTATAATAATACATGCCACTTTATAAATCACTGATGTGTCCTCACCTTATTCTGTTTAGTTAACCTATATCAGGAAGGTAGAGATGATGTATAAGTTCTATTATGTAAGGTTTGGAGAAACTGAATACGCTAGAAATCTCACTCTAAAAAAATAATCAGTGAGGATTTATTGTACAAATATTAATTAACTAGAAAAAAATAAATCCTATTTCATAATTAACAAGGATAAATTAAATAAAAGGGCAAAAAATATGAAAAAATATGTAAAGTTCATACCTTTATATATAAAGCATCCTCTACTTACTGTCACAAGATATCCCTGAGACAAAGAGCTTTATGTAATCATTTAAAAAAAGGATTACATATTTAAATATCTAGCAATTGTCGGTAAAAATTTATTTAAGATCCCTCATGCATGTTTTAAGACATAAGCCATCTCTTAAACGACGGAGAATAACTACGGGCAGGGTATTCCACAACTGTCCCTTAGGTGGTTTCTTGAACCTTTCTCTGAACCACGTATCAGTCACTGCCAGAGAAATAATACTGAGTAGATGTCTCATTGAGCTGATTGTGTGTTTTGTTTCCAATTTTTGTAGTGCTTCATCCTTTGAGGTGTGATAGTCAAAATGTTGGTGTAATAAATAAGTGGAAAACCAGGAGTGCTGGCAGGAGGGTGGTACAAAGAGAACTGGATAAGAAAGTTATGTCACGTGGCAAGGGCAAGGTTACTCTGGTGCCAGTGTATATGGGAAAAGACCAAAAGGGTTAAAGAGGTTTCTGCATTGCTGCCAACATTTTTGTGTTCCCATTAGAGTGCTTCATTGCTCAGAAGTCAAAGGGGATATTTTTTCCAGTGTTTTTGGCTTGTTATATTTTCTTTATGCTGCACTTCCCAGGAGGAAAGCTGTCATCTTGTGTTGCTGGATTGGTTAGACTTTTGCAAGCATTTCTGTTTTTCTCTCCATATCATGGATGTTTTCTTAAGACTTCTTGGTTGACACCAGTCAGTGGTATGCTGTGCCACACTGGAATGGCTCTCGAGAGGAGCCAAGCATACATCCATGTTCACTGAAAATATTAAAACCTGGGCTCTTTAGGAATATGCTCACCAAGTATTAAACAAATATTGTAGTTCTCGCTGCCCAGAGCTAGTCCTTCATTCTCTATTTCATGCCACAACTATAGATTTGCAGGGGGGTTGTACTGATGCTGCTTGCAGTATGTGCCCAGAAGCCTTATTTTCCTAGACAAATAACCCCAGACCCCGTATTGCATATGGAAACTACAGTAAAAATTAACTTGCTCCCCTGTTTCTGGAAAAGGGTAAATTTTAGCAGGTCCAACGTATAACATTTATAGTAAATGAGAGTAATAAGGAAGTCCTTAGTAGCACCTTCTGTTTGGACTTGACCTCGACAAAGACCAATAAGTTATCCCAGGGTGGGCAAAATGAGGCCCATGGGCCAGATGCGGCCCGCCAGGCCATTCTATCCAGCCCATGGGGCCCCTAAAAAATTTAGAAAATTTAATATTTTTCTGCCCCTGTCATGCGGCCCTTGATGGCTTGCCAAAACTCAGTAAGTGGCCCTCCACCCAAAATAATTGCCTGCCCCTGAGTTATCCTCACAGATTCTTACCTCTGAGGTAGGAAGTATTATTCCCCTTTTACAGAAAAGATAACTAAGCTACAATATACTTTGTTCAAGGCCATAGAGCAAGTGCTGCGAGATGGAGCTTGGAGTAAAACTCTGGCCCTAGGGTTCCAGGCTTCTGCCACAAAGTTAGGGCTTCTTCAGTTTGACTTTTTGACCAAGATCAGAAGTAGTAGGAGCATTCATGGGTGGATCTATGGTTTTCAGAAGGCGCCGTGCATCATCTCCTATAAAACCACACCTATTTTTCCCCAGTTAAAAATAAACCAGAAGCTTTATGAATAGGCTCAGGACCCAGAGCCGGATTATTTGGTTTAAGACTGAAGCAAAAACCAATAGAGCTTCTCTGGAAAGAGTTCAAAAAACATCTGCAGGGCGGTGAAAGAGGAGCCTCCAGACCAGGAGCAGGGACCAGGCAGAACAAGAGCTCCTCTGTGCCCTAGGGGCACTTCTCACCATCTTTCATTTCCCTGGAGCCTGCCGAAGGGCATTTGAGCCCGAAAGTTTGCAGGAAAAAGACAAGGTTCTTTGGGTGAAGCTTTGATCAGACCAACTTAAATAGTTGGAAAAAAAAAATTCTTAGCAAGTTTTTGGGTTTAAAAACCCTTTGTCAGGCTGCAGTTGTACAACCTGCAGAAAAAGATATTTTTTTCTGGTGATTGCCTAGTTGGTCAAGCAAAAAGTATCAAAAGTGAACCAAGAGCTCGGGAGTTTTGCATTTCTTTTTGTCTCAGACCAACCCGGCTGGCACCAAGTACAGCCCTGAGACCATGGCAGAAGAAGAAGAAGAAAGAAGAAGAAAAGGGAGGAAAAAAGAAGAAGGATGAGGAAGTAGAAGAAAGAAGAGAAGGATGAGGAAACAGAAGAAAGGAGGGAGAAGGAGGGTGGTTAACACCTGTGAAAGGCCGCCAGGAAGGGACCAGAAGGAGCCGTGGAGCGAGCTCCCCCCGCACCCCGAAGCCGGGGCACACCCAGGCTCTTCCACCCGGGAACAGCAAAGTTTGTTTTTTGTGTTTTTTCCCCAGAACTGCTCCGCGCCCGCCGCCCAACCAAGCCCAGCCCCGGCACCACAAAAGTTTGCACGCGGCGGCGCGTGCGCGGGGGCCGCAGCCAGGGCGCCCTGGCAGCAGCGGGGGCCGGGCCGCCCCTTCCC